AATGATGTTTTTATATTGAAAAACTAATATAATTAATGTTTTCTTAATCTGTGTGCATAACTCCAAAACGACACTTAAAAAAATACGGAGGGAGTAATAGTTTTTTTTTAAAAATCTACGTAAATGATTAATGCTCAAAAAAAAAAAAATACACACAACGTCTTCATTTTCTTAATGTTTGGTACATTTTGTTTGAAATTTATAATCAAGTACGCAATGGTCCGTTGGTATCTATGGACTATGGTGTTGATCTAACGGCTGCGTTTTGGTATCGGGTGAGTATATATATGGGTGAGTAGTAGATAATATTACTATTTGGGGCTTGTTTGACGCTAACAATACGTTGGTGTTCAAGCTATAATTTATCAATTATTGTATGATGACTTAACGAGACATCTAAATTGCAAATACCCAAAACTTGTATGGTTCATTTCATTCTATACGTAAAATTAATATTGCGTTTAAATTTTTTGCTTTTGCATTAGGTTTATAGTAGTGTACTATAATCAGAGCCGGTCCTGAGAGCAAGCAATCCAAGCATGGGCTTGCGGCCTTATATTTTATATAAAATATTTCGGCCCTAAATTTGTTAAAAGTCTTGGTAGTCTAGTGGTATAACGCGAAATCTGCTGTAGTTGGGTGTCGAGAGTTCGAAACTCAATTTTGTATTTTTTTTAATAGTAAACCAGCCAATAAGGTAATAGAGTAAAATAATTAATTTAACATAAGAATTTCTAATTAAAACCTAATTTTTTAATCAGAACACCATAACTTCTTTAGTTCTTCCTCTCCCAAGTCTTTCACGGCTCACGAAGACACCATCGACTTCTTCTTCTCTGCTTATCCTCAGCCTTCTTTTGATTCTTCCTCCTGGTACGTTGATTATCAATCTCTTACTTACTTATTATTTTTCTCCAAAAGTCTCTTTTTTTATATGATCAAGTATTCAAGTGATTGGCTTTCTTTGATTGAAATGTTGGGTGTATACAAATACAATCAGTTAGATTGGTCTTTGTCTTAAATCTTAATAGATTAGAGTAATGGAAATTCCATTGTTATGTAGATTCTGAGTAACTGGTTTATTGACATGGTAATCCAAATTGCTTTGTTTGATCAATCTATTGTTGTTCACTTGCTATTCTACTATATTGGGAGAGCTTTGTTTTAAAAGTAAAAAAAAAATGCTTTAGGTATCTGTGTGGTATCAATCTATCAACCCATAAAATCGTTGCTCTTCAAATTGTAATGTGTGGTATCTAACCATCGTGTGACTCATCTACTAATCATGTGTACCTTTTCTACTTGTTTATTCATGGTGACTCAACTATTTAACAAATATTTTAAATGCACACAGAAACATGTCTTCGAAAAGAATAAAGAAAGTGAAAGGTGGTGCAGAGAAACTAAGGGACAAGAAAAAACAAGAAGAGGAGAGAAAATCTTTAGCTAATTCGATGCTAAGGTATGTAACAAGATCTGAAACTCCTAAAATTGATGAGGTTTTAGAAGAGAATGAGAATGGGGATGGGAATGAGAATGAGAATGTTAATGCTGAGAACGTCCAGAACGAAAACGAAGATGAAGTTATGAAAGACAATGAAGAGAAGGAAGCGTTTGATGTTAAGGAATATCTAATAGAGGGGGATATCAATGATCCTGGAAATTGGGAAAGAGTTGATAATAAATTGAGAGATTTTCTGGTTGATAAGGGTCCAATAGAAAGGCTTCCAGTTGATTATCATTTTCCAAGAGATTCTATTGGCAGAAGTTTTTCTCATTTGTCTTATACAAGAAGAATAGCTAACGGTGAAAAGCAAGATAGGCGATGGTTAATTTACTCAACAGCAAAAGATAAGGCCTTTTGTTTTTGTTGTAAGTTATTTCCGCAGGACAATACTGCTTATCAGCTGGCAACTAATGGATACAATGATTGGAGAAATATTTCACAAACGCTTAAGGAACATGAAAGAAGCCATAAGCATGTCATTTGCATGACTCAGTGGATGGATCTAGAAGTGAGATTACGGACAAGTCAGACTATTGATAAGCATATCCAAGAAGAGATTAACAAAGAAAAAAAGCATTGGAGAGATGTGTTGTTGAGGACAATTGCATTGGTAAAGGGTCTAGCTAAAAAGAATATAGCATTTCGTGGACGCAGCGAGAAAATTCATGAGGATGATAATGGAAATTTTTTGGGTATGATGGAGGTATTTGCAGATTTTGATCCTGTGATCAAAGAACACTTTAGACGAATTGATAAACGTGAAATCCGTTATCATTATCTTAGTCACAGAATTCAGGATGAGTTGATTAAGATGCTTGGGACTGAGGTGAAAAAAATGATATTGGAGAAGATACAATGTGCAAAGTATTTTTCGGTTATTCTTGATACTACTCCTGATTGTAGTAACCGGGAACAGATGTCTCTAGTTATCCGATGTGTGGATATATCTGACACCTCACCAAAGATTCAAGAGTTTTTTTTGTCATTCTTAGAGGTCAAAGATAAAACCGGAGAAGGACTTTTTGAAACCCTTCAGGATGTGCTCCTTAATCTTGGATTGAGTATTGATGACATTCGAGGACAAGGTTATGATAATGGGTCAAACATGAAAGGAAAAAATAAAGGAGTACAAAAGAGGTTGCTTGAAATTAATTCAAGAGCGGTTTACACACCATGTGGCTGTCATAGTTTGAATCTTTTACTCACAGATATCGCTTCCTCGTCGACGATAGCAGTATCATTTTTTGGAATTATTCAGCGCATCTATTGTTTGTTTGCCTCTTCTACAAACAATTGTGAAGTTTTCAGAGATATTGTGAATGGTATTACAGTTAAGCCATTATCACAAACTCGTTGGGAGAGCCGCATTAAAAGCATCAAAGCTATACGATTTCAAGCTCCTCAGATTCGAGATGCTTTGTTTCATTTAGCAGAAAACAGTGACAATCCAAAAACAAGAAGTGAAGCTGAGTCTCTTGCAATGAGCGAAGTCCATGGAATTGGGAGTTTTGAGTTTTTGTTTGGAATGATTATCTGGTATGAACTTTTGTTTGTTGTGAACAAAGTAAGCAAGATCTTGCAGTCAGAAGATATGGATATTGATATTGCTCTTTCTCAACTTGAAGGTCTAGTTGCTTTTTTAAAAAACTATAGAGAGACGGGTTTTGATGCAGCAAAAGGAGAAGCTGAACGGATTGCTATTGAGATGGAAGTCGAACCTGTATTCTCTGTCAAAGCAAAACGTCTTAGGAAAAGGAAACGACATCATGATGAAGAGCCTGAGATAAGTGGGGAAGATGTGATATTAGCAGCAGAAGAAAATTTCAGGATCAACTACTTCATCAAAATCGTGGATCAAGGTTTGGTTTCTCTTGAGACAAGGTTTGATCAACTTCAAAGTTATGAAAAGACTTTTGGATTTTTATTTGACTTGAAGAAGCTGATGTTAGCAAATGATGACAAGTTGATGGCTTCTTGTCTTAACCTGGAAGCTTCTCTGAAACATGGTAATCATTTTGATATTGATGGTAATGATTTATTTTTGGAGCTAAAGCTTTTAAAAGGAGCTTTACCAAAAGAGATTAAGAAAGTAGTCGAGATACTTGATTATTTGAAAAAGTTGGAAAGCTGTTATCCAAATACATGGACTGCATACCGTATAATGATGACGATTCCAGTTTCAGTTGCCTCAGCAGAAAGAAGTTTCTCAAAGCTAAAACTAATAAAGTCTTATCTACGGTCCTCTATGTCACAAGAAAGATTGAATGGATTGTCGATATTGTCGATTGAAAGGAGAATGGCTGAAAAACTTGACTATACATGCTTGATGAATGAGTTTGCAGGAAGGAATGCAAGAAGAATCAAATTTCAAAATTAATGTACCTATTTTTTTGTTTTTAAATATTTTATAGTTTTTGTTTAACATATTTATGAATTATGATTCTTTTTTAATTTTAGAAAAAAATATTACAAAACGGCCCATTTTTTTTTTAGCTTGCGGCCACTTAAAACTCAAGGCCGGCTCTGACTATAATCTTTGTTATTATAACAATAGAACAGTAAAATTAATTGATTAATCTGCTACTGCATGTGCATGTATTTTATAAATTGCGCCACCATGCATGGCTTAGAAATCCTAGTAAAAGAGAGGATTTCTAAGCATCAGCAAATAATGGTATCAAGCCAACTGAGCGCGCGGTTGCCGAAAATAAAATCCCACAATCCATACACGTCAAAAACCAGTTGTTTTGGACAAAAATTTCTTTATTGAAATTATTATTTTAAAAATTCAACAATATGGATGAGTCATTGTGACATCGATTTTCTATTTACAAAAAGATGGAATTATGAAATATTGTTGATACTTACAAAAACTAGTCGAGAAATTTATTTAGGGTTGAATTTTGAGATTTATATACATTTGTTAAGAAAAAAAATAATAGAAAATGGGATCCAGTTTTGAATATAGTCATTTTTAATAAGGACATTTTGAAGAAAAAAAATCACCAGTTTGGATAAGTCAGCAAATATCTCACCTTTTTGTAAATAGAAAAGCGAGGTTACAATGACTCATCCATTCTGTTGAGAATTCATTCTCTTACTGTCAATCTATTAATTCTGCGTGCCATTTGTAATATCGTTTATGCTTTTTAGAGATAATACAAATGTATCAAGTTTGCGACTTTTGATTTTAGGATACAATCATACAAGTAAAGTTTCCCGTTTTATACATTTTTAAGAAGGTTTAGTTTTTGGTCGTATCATATGCGTTTCTAAATGAGGAAACCTTTCACCTAACGAATGACCCAATGACTCCTCGAACCGAGTAAAACGACTCATGTCTATAATGCCTTTTTACTGAGTGAAATGTAACATCACCGCCCTGTTTTTACATGACATTTCACTATAAATAATGATATCACGTACTGAGCAATAAAACAGAAGACAACTTAAAACAGAAGACAAAACACATCGCTCAAAAGTCTCTCCAAATATGTCGAGTGTGAACAGTACCACCTCGCGAGGCAAGCTGACTGAAGATGAGAAGAAGCGCACTCTCAAGAAACTCCAGAAAGAGGCGTACAAGGCCGTTCTATGCGCCTACGATGCAGAAAATTCGGTAAAATTATATACAGGTCTTAGTTATGTGTCATATGTTATGTATTTTTCTTGGGATAAAATCTTATAATCCATGCAGAGACTCGGTGACTTAAAAAATGTTTTGAAAATAAAGAACAAGCCTGCAGAGAAAAAGCGGAAGAAGGCATATGAAGCTGTTATCCTAGCATTAAGGCTAGATAAGACTCAGAGCCGGTCCTGAGAGCAAGCAATCCAAGCATGGGCTTGCGGCCTTATATTTTATATAAAATATTTCGGCCCCAAATTTGTTAAAAGTCTTGGTAGTCTAGTGGTATAACGCGAAATCTGCTGTGGTTGGGTGTCGAGAGTTCGAAACTCAATTTTGTATTTTTTTAATAGTAAACCAGCCAATAAGGTAATAGAGTAAAATAATTAATTTAACATAAGAATTTCTAATTAAAACCTAATTTTTTAATCAGAACACCATAACTTCTTTAGTTCTTCCTCTCCCAAGTCTTTCACGGCTCACGAAGACATCATCGACTTCTTCTTCTCTGCTTATCCTCAGCCTTCTTTGATTCTTCCTCCTGGTACGTTGATTATCAATCTCTTACTTACTTATTATTTTTCTCCAAAAGTCTCTTTTTTTATATGATCAAATATTCAAGTGATTGGCTTTCTTTGATTGAAGTGTTGGGTGTATACAAATACAATCAGTTAGATTGGTCTTTGTCTTAAATCTTAATAGATTAGAGTAATGGAAATTCCATTGTTATGTAGATTCTGAGTAACTGGTTTATTGCCATGGTAATCCAAATTGCTTTGTTTGATCAATCTATTGTTGTTCACTTGCTATTCTACTATATTGGGAGAGCTTTGTTTTAAAAGTAAAAAAAAAATGCTTTAGGTATCTGTGTGGTATCAATCTATCAACCCATAAAATCGTTGCTCTTCAAATTGTAATGTGTGGTATCTAACCATCGTGTGACTCATCTACTAATCATGTGTACCTTTTCTACTTGTTTATTCATGGTGACTCAACTATTTAACAAATATTTTAAATGCACACAGAAACATGTCTTCGAAAAGAATAAAGAAAGTGAAAGGTGGTGCAGAGAAACTAAGGGACAAGAAAAAACAAGAAGAGGAGAGAAAATCTTTAGCTAATTCGATGCTAAGGTATGTAACAAGATCTGAAACTCCTAATTGATGAGGTTTTAGAAGAGAATGAGAATGGGGATGGGAATGAGAATGAGAATGTTAATGCTGAGAACGTCCAGAACGAAAACGAAGATGAAGTTATGAAAGACAATGAAGAGAAGGAAGCGTTTGATGTTAAGGAATATCTAATAGAGGGGGATATCAATGATCCTGGAAATTGGGAAAGAGTTGATAATAAATTGAGAGATTTTCTGGTTGATAAGGGTCCAATAGAAAGGCTTCCAGTTGATTATCATTTTCCAAGAGATTCTATTGGCAGAAGTTTTTCTCATTTGTCTTATACAAGAAGAATAACTAACGGTGAAAAGCAAGATAGGCGATGGTTAATTTACTCAACAGCAAAAGATAAGGCCTTTTGTTTTTGTTGTAAGTTATTTCCGCAGGAAAATACTGCTTATCAGCTGGCAACTAATGGATACAATGATTGGAGAAATATTTCACAAACGCTTAAGGAACATGAAAGAAGCCATAAGCATGTCATTTGCATGACTCAGTGGATGGATCTAGAAGTGAGATTACGGACAAGTCAGACTATTGATAAGCATATCCAAGAAGAGATTAACAAAGAAAAAAAGCATTGGAGAGATGTGTTGTTGAGGACAATTGCATTGGTAAAGGGTCTAGCTAAAAAGAATATAGCATTTCGTGGACGCAGCGAGAAAATTCATGAGGATGATAATGGAAATTTTTTGGGTATGATGGAGGTATTTGCAGATTTTGATCCTGTGATCAAAGAACACTTTAGACGAATTGATAAACGTGAAATCCGTTATCATTATCTTAGTCACAGAATTCAGGATGAGTTGATTAAGATGATTGGGACTGAGGTGAAAAAAATGATATTGGAGAAGATACAATGTGCAAAGTATTTTTCGGTTATTCTTGATACTACTCCTGATTGTAGTAACCGGGAACAGATGTCTCTAGTTATCCGATGTGTGGATATATCTGACACCTCACCAAAGATTCAAGAGTTTTTTTTGTCATTCTTAGAGGTCAAAGATAAAACCGGAGAAGGACTTTTTGAAACCCTTCAGGATGTGCTCCTTAATCTTGGATTGAGTATTGATGACATTCGAGGACAAGGTTATGATAATGGGTCAAACATGAAAGGAAAAAATAAAGGAGTACAAAAGAGGTTGCTTGAAATTAATTCAAGAGCGGTTTACACACCATGTGGCTGTCATAGTTTGAATCTTTTACTCACAGATATCGCTTCCTCGTCGACGATAGCAGTATCATTTTTTGGAATTATTCAGCGCATCTATTGTTTGTTTGCCTCTTCTACAAACAATTGTGAAGTTTTCAGAGATATTGTGAATGGTATTACAGTTAAGCCATTATCACAAACTCGTTGGGAGAGCCGCATTAAAAGCATCAAAGCTATACGATTTCAAGCTCCTCAGATTCGAGATGCTTTGTTTCATTTAGCAGAAAACAGTGACAATCCAAAAACAAGAAGTGAAGCTGAGTCTCTTGCAATGAGCGAAGTCCATGGAATTGGGAGTTTTGAGTTTTTGTTTGGAATGATTATCTGGTATGAACTTTTGTTTGTTGTGAACAAAGTAAGCAAGATCTTGCAGTCAGAAGATATGGATATTGATATTGCTCTTTCTCAACTTGAAGGTCTAGTTGCTTTTTTAAAAAACTATAGAGAGACGGGTTTTGATGCAGCAAAAGGAGAAGCTGAACGGATTGCTATTGAGATGGAAGTCGAACCTGTATTCTCTGTCAAAGCAAAACGTCTTAGGAAAAGGAAACGACATCATGATGAAGAGCCTGAGATAAGTGGGGAAGATGTGATATTAGCAGCAGAAGAAAATTTCAGGATCAACTACTTCATCACAATCGTGGATCAAGGTTTGGTTTCTCTTGAGACAAGGTTTGATCAACTTCAAAGTTATGAAAAGACTTTTGGATTTTTATTTGACTTGAAGAAGCTGATGTTAGCAAATGATGACAAGTTGATGGCTTCTTGTCTTAACCTGGAAGCTTCTCTGAAACATGGTAATCATTTTGATATTGATGGTAATGATTTATTTTTGGAGCTAAAGCTTTTAAAAGGAGCTTTACCAAAAGAGATTAAGAAAGTAGTCGAGATACTTGATTATTTGAAAAAGTTGGAAAGCTGTTATCCAAATACATGGACTGCATACCGTATAATGATGACGATTCCAGTTTCAGTTGCCTCAGCAGAAAGAAGTTTCTCAAAGCTAAAACTAATAAAGTCTTATCTACGGTCCTCTATGTCACAAGAAAGATTGAATGGATTGTCGATATTGTCGATTGAAAGGAGAATGGCTGAAAAACTTGACTATACATGCTTGATGAATGAGTTTGCAGGAAGGAATGCAAGAAGAATCAAATTTCAAAATTAATGTACCTATTTTTTTGTTTTTAAATATTTTATAGTTTTTGTTTAACATATTTATGAATTATGATTCTTTTTTAATTTTAGAAAAAAATATTACAAAACGGTCCATTTTTTTTTTAGCTTACGGCCACTTAAAACTCAGGGTCGGCTCTGCTTGTTGGAGATACAAATGTTCTCCGTATAAGGCTACCAAAGTAAAATATATAAATAATACCCTAGTTCATCGCCTTTGCCAATAATAACATGCATATATATATATATATATATCATTGTCGTTTTTCGTTATTATTATTTTGTGTGTGTTTATTGTTTCCATCATCGTCGTTTGTTGATAAACAAAATATCCTATATGCCAATAATATGATCTATTATATTATATTAACATTCTACTACAATGTACCCTTTTTGTATGCCTTCATTTATAATATTTATTTATATCTTTGTTGCGTCAATCACAATTGCTTGAGGAAGAAGCAAAGTTGTCAAAAAGAATAGCATTATAACCTAACATATTACAGGCCCAAAGCCCAAACTAGTCAGGCCTAGTTTCAGAAATATCGATGTAATTTATACAACCGTCAAGTGTAAGAGAGAATAAATTGTGAATTGATGACGTCATTTTCATTTTCCATCCTTTTATATATATATATACATATGAACATCGCTCATGGTCAGTTGATTTCAAACTCTCTCTCTCTCGATCCACCATCTTTGGTTTAACAGTTCTTTTATCGATCAATGAATCTTCCAATAGATTTTCTGGTTCATCGAGTTGATGGTCGTTTCTTTGTTAATTCATTTGGCAGTCTTAAAAACAATTTCAGTCCTCCCAACCACCGAAATTTATAATGTGCTTTACCAAAAAAAAAAAAATTGATAATGTGTTCGAAAATCGAAACGCCATCATCCAATAGAAACTTAAAATATTTGAAAGAGAAACATAAGAAAATTATAAAGAACCAACTACCAAATAGGCAAAAAGTAAATACTAAGAGAAGAAACCACCAAAATTATGAAAAGAAAACATCATTAGACATTCATTAGTTTTCTGAGTTGGTAAAAAGGGAAATAAATATTATGTTTCATGCATATGTAAATTAGTAAATACATCACGTAAATAGTTAAATTTCGACATTAATTCACATGCGAACTAAAATAATTATTTTTTATTACTGAGGTTGGGTTTAAATTTGTAACATTGGTTATTTGGACAACAAAATTTGATGGGGACAAGTGAGATTTTTCATTGGGTGAAAGTGATTTAATTCCTCATAAATCTGAAAGGATCAAAAAAAAAAAAAAAATCTGAATGGTGGCAACCGCCTTAAAGATGTCACCACCTAATACATCATTTAATTTGTCGATTTTTCATTGGGTGCAGTGGTGCACCTCTATTTCTGAGTCGTTAAGGAAACAAAAGAAGGTGTAACTATGTGCAGCCCTTTAGTAAATTTTCCTTTTATGAAGAAATCCAAATATTCAAACTTTTCTAATTCCACTGAAAAAGTCCCAATTAGTTGAAGTAACATTAATTGAAAATTATTTTTTAGTTGAAATAAGATTTTCAGAAGATTTCACTAGAGTTTTACAGTTTGAGAATTTCTATTTAATAATTTTTTTAAGAAATTAAAATTTCAGAGTTCAATGTTATCTTCGGTTAAATATTTTGATTGGAAAACTTCCAAAACAGAATTGAAATCTTCCAAAAATATTATCTAAACTAGGATTCAATTTAAATTAATTGTATTTTGGCATTTAAATTAATTGAGGATTTGTTTGATTAGAATGTGAAAATTTTGAGAATTTTTGTTTAATATATTTTCCGAAAATTGAATATTTTTAAGATTTAGTATTTAATAGTTTTAGTTAAATATTTTGAATGTATATCTTCCAAAAAGAAATAAAATTTAATTGAAATCTTCCAAAACAAATAGGAAATATTCTAATAATATCCACTTTTTTTTTAAAGCATAACCACAATTATATCAGGTAAAACTTTAGCTTAGTATGTAATATTTTTCTGTTTTATCAATGAATCCACTTAAGAATTGAAATTTATATTTACAAAAAAAAACTAATTAAAAATGTCATAGTATTAGTTGCTTGGAACATCTTACAAACTTTATGCATAGAAGATAACGTTCCAATTTTTTTCTTTAGCATTCCACATATGACGTATGTTCCTCCACGCACTACACATTGACTATGTATTGTCTTTACTATTTTCTAATACCTCGAAAAAAGAAAAAAATCTTGTCTTTTCTAATAAAATCAGAAGTTATATATAAAAAGAATGCTCACCAGGCGCATCACAAACACATGTACAAGACGATACCAATGGAGGATCCAAAGAGAGGAAGCCCTAAACCTAAACTTGGGGCGTGGGAGAGAGAGGCAGAGGGAAAAACAACTCCAACTATAGTATTACCTCACCGTCTCGTCGAAGAGATTCTAGCAAAGCTTCCGTTTAAATCTCTTATTAAATTCACTTTTGTATCAAAAGAATGGGAATTATCGATTATGTCTCAATATTTTAAGGAAGGCATTGGGGATAATTTTCAAAATGAAAAGATCTAAATATCAAGCGTGGTTAGATAAGATCCTAATTCTATTTGGGATAAGGATTAAAGTCGGTTTAGAGTCTATGGATTAAGTTTGATCTATATGTATAATCTTTGTATGTGAATCAATAAGACTCAAGTCATTACGAGATGTATCTAAATTTACAGAAAGACATCTGAGTAGTCAGAGATCTCATGACCCGAATATCCTCTTTTTCCAGAGTAAATGTGATAATTGTAACCCACTCACCAAAGTTTGTGTAAATACATTGACGTTGAGAGAATCGGTTTTCAAATCGTTCTTATTTACTTTTCTACGACATATTTTTATTAATGTATTTAAGAGTTGCGATGCTCTGTATCTTATTGATTTACAAGGTAAGGTATTTATACAAATATGTAGATCCTAAACCTAGTACGAATTTCTAGAGACTAGAGTACATAACTACATGCGAGGTTTTCTCTTTCAAAACGAACACTTGAAGGAACGTGACTGCTTCTGCCTCTCATTCTCAAGTAGTGTACCCAACATACGTAGATGGTTCATTTCATTGGTTAATCCACGTCTACAATTCAAAAAGACATACAGTATAGTGTCTTTTGATCTTTACACTGAAACTTTTTGAAATTAATCTGAAGACATTAGTTAACACTGTTGGTCATGTTGCTATATGCAACCTTAATGACCATTTGTGTATATCAGAGAAAAAAAGGAGAGGAAGCAAGAGATACGGTCGTTGTTCAGTTCAGACAAAAAGAGGGAGAAGATAACTTTCATATGTATTCAAAATTTGAAGATAACTTCCATTTGGTGTTTTGGCAAACCGTTGGCAACACAAATAATAGCAACTTTTAAGAAAAATAAAATTCTTCTTCATACTTAGAAAAACATGGCCGTATTTTAGTGATGCATGATCCTTAACAAAATTTACTTAGAAAAACATGATTCTTCTTCATACTTATGGTTACCTTTCAGTTCTAAGCATAGGAGGGTTTCTATTGCTTATTTCCCAAGGTTAGTCACTGTATGAGTGATTTAAGCATTAACAATGGATATAGATTCTTATTCAGTTATTCTTGTTTCAGTATTGAGCTAGCAATAAGTTTTATATATTACTTTCATTGTGCTCTAGTTATTAAATTTACTAGGTGGCTGTAAGTTTTATATATTACTTTCATTGTGCTCTAATTATTAAATTTATTTTTCAATCTTAAATGCTACATTGCCCTTGGTCTGTGATTTGGTTTCTTCACGTAGAATCTAAATTTGAGTACATTCAAATTCAACACTTTAGATGTTAACAACACTAGATTAATCAGAATGCACGAAATCAAAGTAATGAAGATAATCAAGCACCTCTTCAAAACCTGATGATTATAATTCTTTATCAGTTGTTGAAGGCTTGTAAGATCAATTGTTGAATTTCCAGGTGACTCTCTCAATTTTTCAAGTTTATTATCTATACCATTTTTATTGTATTGAGAGATAGTATGAGAGTATTTGAAACTGATAAATTTTTTGTTCATATAGAAATTAAATACATGTCATATTAACTAAATCATTATCATCTTGCATTTCTAGAAACTAAAACTATTATTACTTCTTTTTTTTTGGACCAAAACCAAATTATATCCGAGCAGAGTGTTTTCGACCTAGACTTTCTGAAATCTGAACTATTTTTACTTGGCTTTGGGTGTCGTAAAGCTCTTAACCTTTAACGGTGGTGTGGACTAATAAATAGTGATTGGTCACTAATGTGTAACAACATTTCAAGACAGATGATTCAGTCGCTCTATAAATTAGATGAAAAATATGCTACAATATGTAATCTTGATATTGTTGAAATTCACTCGCCTTGATCTCGTTTAAGGATGGAAACTCTCTTTGTAAGCGAACTAAAACAACGTTGCTAATAGATTGGACATGAAACAAAACTAAGTTCTGTATCTGTGATTTGTGAAGGCAGAGAGAGAGAGAGAGAGAGGGGGAAACGAGGAACCGTTAAAAGAGTCTTCATTTGTACCAACCAGCAAGAAAATGCCGCAGCAGGAAACAGAAGGCGCAAGCTAGTGCCTGCAAAAGAAAGTAACAAAAATAAAAACCAAATTTGTGATTTCTCTCTCACAACAAGCTAGCTTGTATTAGAGAATGGGCATTTTACCTGGAAAACAAGAAGATGGATACAAAGATACTTTTCTGATTTCCTACCAAAAATTCTCAAGTAGACGTTAATGAGTGTCCCATCTTTGGTTCCCGTTAATAATCCGGTAGCAGGATCAAACCTGGTTCAAGAGGGAGGAAGAGTCAAGTCTTGCTGGCTTTTCTTTTTATGTAACAAGACAACAAAATTTAGCTTACTTTGGGAGGCGATGTCGTGGACATTTTACAATGCCAGCAAGCTGAAGAGTTACACTATAGCAAGTTAGATGCTTAATAAGAAACTTGAAGAGTAGAAGAAAGTGTGAGAGGGAGAAAGGCGATCAAACCTGCGGAAGCGACAACAGAAAGTTCAACACTTGAGGAAGAAAAAAGATTAGGAGGGTTTCACTGCAAAAGTGAATTTAACGAAGATGGAGTTGGTTGGTTGAAGGCACACAAATTAGTTAAATGCAAAACTGCAAATGATGAAACTGAGCACAGGCCACAGGGGTATAAGAATGATATGGCTGGAAATATACCTGAAGTGACCCAGAATGCCAACAACTGCCATTGTCATTCCGGCGAAGACTGTGTAAGTGTCTCCAACAAAAACTGTAGAAGGGTACCTAACAACACCAAAGAGAGGACATGAATGTGGTTAGAGAAAGCATTAGTTCTTTTTTTTTTTTACCTGAGAGACTTAAGAGAAAGCATTACTCAAAGTATTCAAGAGAAAAACTTGAAAGTAATACCAATTGTAAGCAAGCATTGCCAAGGATGTTGCCATCAATGGCTGAGTAAGATATATGGAGAAGGCATGAGCTTGACGAAGCTCAGTATCAACAGATGCTCCGATTTGCATAACGTTGTGTATCAAAATCTACAAGTAACTGAGATGAATCATTTTTACTTACAGAAAATGGGACGAAAGAATGAAGAATTCCAACGCATTTTGACTGCAGAACTTACAGCTGCTGCAATAACTACTGTTTGACCGATTTCAAGGCCATTCAGACCAGCGTGAATGTTTATAGAATTTGTGCAAAAGACAGCCAGTAGCGCCATATATAACTTATATATCCGTCCTGCCACGATAAAAATACAACAACGGAAATCAATTTAAAAATAGTTGCTGCAAGATATATAACACTATATAAAAGAAGATTATTGTACCTAGATCAAGTATCTCCAAGCCAACATAAGAAACCAGAGGTTTTGGTATAACGATAGTTGTATGTCCAGCATAAGCCATCAGAAGTGGAAGGGTTGCAAAAGATGGCAGGAGAAGTTTCCTGCAAATTGAAAAGGATTAAAAGTGTGAACAAAGTTCACGTATGAGCTCAATCAAACAAAATAAGAACTGCGCCTACACTCTCCAAGGCACATCAAGGACGTCATCTACAAATCCAAGCAAAATCATGAAGCAAATAGATGCCAGTGCTGCATTGTACTCCACAAGCCACTGCACAGAGTCATTCAGCCACATTGATGAAATGTGTTGAAAGCAATGAATGAGCCAAGAGCTAGCAACTTCATAGTTGACATCCATTTAGCAGAAAAATATTCCATTTTACAAAAAACAACAACAGGGTTTGTCACATATGCGAAACAGGGGAAACAAAGGGAGAATTATAACGTGGGCTTTCCATATACAATGACCCATTCAGCCAAAAGAAATGAATGATCAAGCTTATAGCTTTTGAGATAAACACACTTACCAAGGAATCTTCTGTGAAATTAAAGAACTGAAATATTATCGCCACGACCAAGAAGACAATACCGACAACTATTCCCAATGACTCAGGCCTACACATAGATATAAGATGAGAGAAGAAAAAAAGTGAGAAATGCAAAAAATAAGCAAATCAAAACTCTTCAAGCCAAGCACACACGCAGAAGTCAGATGTCCCAGTAGATCAAATCAAGCCTAAACTTTGATATAACATCAATTAGAAAATGAGATGCCTCCCCATAAAAATCAAATCTTTAGAAACATCCATTTCAAGAAAAAACGATGAACACTAATAACATTGAATTAAAAAGCTACACAGCTAGTTAATGAGACAAATCGAAGAGGGAAAAACTTACACTTTAACTTCTCCTTGAGGAGTGCCTCTTTTGTTGATATCAAAACCAAACATGTTACGCCTCAGGACATATGTAGCAGCCACAGGTATCAATTTGAGTGTAACAAAGAACCCCACCAAGCTAAGCCCAGCGTTGATGAGGATCGGTCGCTTGAGCTCATTATCAACATTGTAATGAAAACAGAGAAGATAGAGGTAGAGCGAACACAGAAGCAAAGAGATCACGAGAATCACGCCCAATTTCGGCGGTGCGAGACGGAAATCATCTCCGGAAGCAATAGTCTTACGCTCCGCCGGCGCCGGTGGCGGTTTTTCCGAATTAGTCACTGAAGTTCTCTTACGAGCAGTCATGGCGGATCCGTTGGCTTCTTCGGTTCCCCGCCTCTGGATTTTGCTTTCTCGACTTTTCGCTAAAGCTCAAAAGTCTAGCAATTCAAAGCACCGCACTCTTCACAAGCACCCAACTAGGACGCCAATACGATGCCGTATCAGAGTATAAGAAATCTGAATTTGTTGTTAAAAAAAGGGCTTTTAGTGAAAAAACCCCTCAACTAAGTTTGAATCGGATAAAAACCCCTCAACTATTTTTGTAACGTAAAAACCCATCAACTAAGTTTTTGTAATGATTTAGGCCCCTCCGTGAAAAGCACCGTCAAATCTTAACAAATCGTTCTTTTTTTAGCAAAAACTACACGATTTTTACTATAAACAACAAGTTTTTTGAAAGCCAGATATAAGAATCCCAAAATTAAATATAATCTTTAAAATTCCTAAATTCTTAAACCTAAATTGATGAATCCTAATTTTTGAAAGTGTGATTCTAAGTAGTTTTTATGGTTTGTAAGTCAATTGGGTGAGATTGGAAATGATTTGTTGTATTGATTAAAACGAATTTGAAAGAAAAACCCTTGAATTGAGAGAAATATTTTCGCAAATTGGGAGAAAAAGGAGAAAGAATCACAAATCTGAAGCTTGGAAGAAGATGAGGCAGCTGTTTTAATTTGATGTTTAAAACCTTGTTCTTCTTCCTCCAACAAATTTATTTAGAAGAAGAATTTAAGAGTTTTTCAAATTGAATGAGGAACCCTAATTTTTAAATTGAGGATTTTTAGTTTCAAATCGATTTGAGGTTTTCTTTTATTGAAGTCATTTCGTTTTTTAATAAAATACAAAACATCATGTTTTCATTTAACTGTAATCCGTTAAGATTTGACGGTACTGTTCACGAAAGGGCTAAATCATTTCGAAAACTTAGTTAAGAGGTTTTTACATTACAAAAATAGTTGAGGGGTTTTTATCCGATTCAAACTTAATTGAGAGGATTTTTCACTAAAAACCCTTAAAAAAAAGGCCAAAGTGTGAAGAAAAAATTAAAGGAAAGTGATGAAGAGAAGTTAAGAAATACAAAAATGAAGAGTAAATCATACGTATAAACTGATTAGATCCAACATATAAGGTAATGTTTTTTATTATGTTTTTATGTAAACTCTCCAACATCATCATCTCCTTAGATGAAATCATAACCTGAGAACATGCGAAACTTCTCATGCTGTTGATGAGAAGAAACTCAATGCCAAACAAAAAGACACGAGCTGTAATCAACTCTTGTCAGAAACCAGACAGAACAATTCAGGAAAGCCCCTCAATGTGGAAGTTGAAAAAAGAGAACAGAAGTGAACCAGGTGGATCAGAAAGTTGATGAATTTTGTATTTGAAGTAATAAAAATCAACATGATCAAGTATTTCTGAATGTTACATAAGATAGAACTATAGAAGCCTGCCAATCTTCTAATTCCTATTCATCTGTAATTCTGTAGAACCATCTGTATAACCTAAACGAAAATACTTTTCGAAATGTACGCCAGAGCTCATAAAATCTTTCTAAAAAAAATCCCACTCTTTGTAAAACAGCACTATTCAGATGATGGTTCCCTCTGAGTTGCTTCCAATCTTGGAGGCGATTGCGGTGGTATTGCTGATGCCTGACATTCACTTTCAAGATCAAGATGGGCTTCCAAAACCCTCCTCGTACCAGTTGCATGGGATGATTCTCGGGTAGAGCTTAATGTGCTTGAAGAGTTGTTCCCATCTTTTGAGAGAGACATGTGAGCTGAGGTTACCACCGAGCTGAAAACACCCGCCTCTCTTAACTCTTGGATTATAACCTGTGAAAGATGATAGCTTGTGGTAAAACCAAACATTTGATGGATCAAGTCAAAATAAAGAACAAGGTTTGGGGTTTGTGGTAACTAACCATTGGGGCATAAATTCTGGTCAGAATCCCCTTCCTAAGGAGTTTCAGTTTCAGTTTTTCATCCGTCCACACAACATGTTCTCTATACCTGTATTGGTGGAGCTTGTTAGAATGCAGCAAAATGGGATGAAGAGAACTTTGAGTCGACATTAATACCATTGAAGCATTTCCTCTGAACTCGCGGTTGAAGCAATGATAAATGCCTGCACACAGAAGAAAACGATGGCCAAGGGCAATGACTTGTATACTTCAGAACAATAAGCAGGAAATAGAAAGGAAAATGTATCAATTCCCACTCACAGCTCTGTCAAACTCCAACATGAAACATCTCTTAACATCCACCTTAGTGGGCTTGCAACCACAACGATCACGCCTTGAAGTAAGATCTGAAAATCTGGGATAAGTGTAGTGCAGCACGGCAGCTTCTTCTAGTTTGACCTCACTGTCAAAAAGATGCCATTTATCAGCCACAAAATAGACAGCTCCCAAAAAATTGAAATCATGCAAAAGTAGCTTCTATTGAATAAATCGCACTAGAATCTATCATACTAGATGCAGGGGAAAGTGATGCCAAATACAAAGAGTCACATGATAGAACCAAACGAGAAAAGAGCATACTTTGGACTCTTCCTGTAGTTGTGCCATCGATGAGCACCATTGGGACGGAGATGGTCCTGAACACGGGCAGCAGCTTTTCCATTTCCATAGGTTAGGAAATAGTTTGGATTTCCACGAGTGGCCTCTTTATAGCTTCCAAAGTAAACATCTCTCGGAAGATGGTCATAATTCTTCTTGAACATTGATACCTACGATATAATGGAAGTAACAACAAAAGAAAATTGTAGTATTAGATCTATGGAGATGACATGTATTCAGTTTCTCATGGTGGCATAATAGCTTCAGATGGTTATAATTTCTTTACCTCGCTGAAAGGTTCCTTGATATCATCTCGTTCAACGCTGCTCTCCTGAAACAGGGACCAGGAAAATGAAAAAATGAAGCCAAAAGAAGCTTTTTTTCAGTATAAAATTGAAAGTCCTATGTAAGACTCACATAATTTGGAAAGATAACTATATCCACATCTGCAGAAATATTTCCCAGCAATTTCCGTAAGGAATATTCATGGGTACCAGAAGGATGTATAAGCTCGTCGGTGTCAAGATGAATTATCCACTCCATACCATCATCCTAAATACATCGCATAACAAAAACATGTGGCATGTATAAGAGGTTGGCAATTTTTTTATACTTTATCTAGTGGCTAAAACCACATGCCGGATTCAACTATGGAAAATGTACAGATACCTTAGCCATGGTGATTGCCATTTCCATATTCAAGGACTGTTTCACGAATAATTCGTAGTTACACGGTTTGTAAAAGAAGCTCGACAACCAAGTCTCATTCCATATCCGGCTGTAAACCAAAAGGAAATGAAATAGCACATTAGTGGATTTGTACATCTAAAGTAATGGAGCTAAATCCCAAGTTTTAGAAGTGACATTACAGTCACAAGGAAAGCACATCATACATCAACATTCTTTTCAAACTAAACAATTTGATGTCATTCCAAGAAAGTCAAATCCTCCAAGTTTTCTAGACCGATCTTACTCATAAAATCAGAACTTCCCTACATTCTATTTAGTTTCTGCGATAAAAGAACTTATTCCCTACCATTTCATCAAACACAAAATCCACAAAGATGCAACAAACCATACATACCTTTTAGCCTGCTGTTCTTCCAATTCTTTTGTCCTGTGTATAACTTTTACACCCTGCAAAAGAAATCGCATTGGCAATAAGAGGAGGCGCAAAACAAAACTAATAAACCGTGAGAAAACAAATTTAATGGATCAGGCAAAAGCTGCAAAGCTTACGGGAATTGTCTCCAAAACTCGAGACACATTTGGGGATGCAGCCTTCCCCTCAACAAATAGATAAAATGTTGAAACTCCAATAACTTTGTGAAAGAAAATCCATGGAAGTGTTTGCTCTAAGCCAGCGGAAGTGCTTGTTGTAATGCATATCTAACATGAGAAAATCGCAAAAACGAAAAACACATTCGCAGAAAGTCAGAATCTTTTAACCAATTTCATAAAACCCAAAATTAAAAATCACAACTTTTCCCTGAGGACACAAATCAAATCCCACGGCAGAGACAAGCACCATCACAAAACAAGGATCAACAATACATGGCAATCAAATATATGAACAAGAACGCGTCTACATCAAATCAAATGATACCAAATTCACCATTAGATTGGATTACAGATTCACAGGGGCGTCATCACTCACCCTAGGTTTCAGATCCGAATGGTAATCAAATTTCCAGTCTCGGAAATAGGGAAACGAAGGGGCACGACTTTGACCTAGAAGATCAACGCAGCCCGAATCAGTACCTGAACGTCGCAAGGACCGTTTCTCGTGGGTTGTGGCCATTCCGGGGAACCCGTGATGATCCGTGGACCAATGAGTAACCGGGTCGTCGAGTCCGCCACGCCATTGAAGAACGAAGGCGAAACAGGCGAGGGTGAGAGGAAGAAGGGTAACGAGCAATAACAGACGCGAGGAAGATGGTGATGATGTTGAAGAATAAGAAGAAGACACAGTGGGTTTTGAGGAAGAGTTCAAGAGACTCGCCATGGAAGTATGCTATCAGGAAAACGCCAGAGGCAGAGGCATAGTAGAAGATATACAAATACGAATATATGTGAGGGTGTGTATCAGTGTATATAGAGATGCTGGGAGGGAGACGAAGTTGAAACTGAAAGCATTTGAACGGAAAAATTGTCAGTTGGCCTTGCTTCTTATTTTCTTCCTATAATATCAAAAATAAACATTGACTATTTTATTTACATAGTCGAAGTAAACAAATATATATTTTTTTTACACGGCAAAAAATACAAATAAATACTCCATATCTACATTCAAAAATGAAACAACATGATAATATAGCTTAATGTTTTAAAATAAATGATATAGTCAAGCCATCAAATATTTTATAAATTATTTTTTTCCAAATAAATCTGATTTCAGTAATTTCAGTGTAAGTAATTCAAATATTGCAAAATAAAAAGCCAACAAATCTGGCTAAAACTTTAACCTGGTTAGTAATAATATTATTAAATCCAAAATACTTAAATGCCCGTAGAAAATTTTGATAACTAATAAATTAGATTTATTACCATATATGCACGAGCTTTTAAGCTGTTTTTTTTTTTTGTAAAAAAGCTTTTAAGCTGTTGCTGAAAGGATATGGGTGAGGAATTGAATTAAATTAAAGTGCAAATAATCGGCCTTCGTTAACGTGAATAAATTAAGTTGCTAATCTACTAGGAGAGAATTGATAATTAAAGTTTCTGCCAAACTCTACTACATATATTGAAATTTTTCTGCCAAACCTCAATTAATTTACTACTTATAACAATGGGTAATGGGCTAATCAATAACTTCAGAATGTAACCAACGAGGCCCCGACAGTATTGCATCAGCTATGTCTTTGCCAACACGTTTCTATACAAGTCCCTTTAGTCGAGCCTAAGGGAGTTGTCGAGTCGAGAAAATCAAAGCACAAAGCAAGGAAGTCTAAGCGCAAATCAAAGAAATCTAAGGGCAAAGCTACCTCACCTGGTGCAAGCTCAACATCGACCTCTCAAGACCCTATTGGAGACGTGGAGAAAGATGGTAATGCTAAAGTAATCACCCCAGAGACACGTCCCGCCCCGCCTCCAAAAGCAAAACCTTCCGAGCTTCCTTGGTTTATGCATATCGCGAATTACCTAGCAGCAGACGTTGAACTGCCACGATTCTTCGGCTACAACAAAAAGAAGTTCTTGCGTGAAGTTAGAAGGTACTTTTTGGATTAACCATATCCTTATAAGCAGTGTGCAGACAACTTGTTTCGCAGGTGCATCTCCGAAGAAGAAGTTCCAGACTATGCTGAACACTTTGCTACTGATAAGACTGTAACGAAGGTTTTATAAGCTGGTTATTGGTGGCCTACCATGTTCAAGGACACCCATAAATTCATATCTAAGTGTGATGCTTGCCAAAGACAAGGGAACATCAGCAAGCGACATGAGATGCCAAAAAACTTCATTCAAGAAGTTGAAGTTTTTGATGTTTGGGGAATCGACTTTATGGGTCTGTTTCCTTCGTCTTTTGGAAACAAGTACATCATTGTTGCTGTTGACTACGTGTCTAAGTGGGCAGAAGCCATAGCCAGCCCAACAAATGACGCAAAAGTAGTAATGAAGATGTTCAAGTCGATCATATTTCCAAGATTTGGTGTTCCACGACTCGTCATCAGTGATGGTGGTTCCCACTTCATCAACAAAGTGTTTGAGAATCTCTTGAACAAAAATGGAGTGAAACATAAGGTAGCTACACCTTATCACCCACAGACGAGTGGCCAAGTGGAGGTATCAAACAGAGAACTCAAAAGAATTTTGGAAAAGACAATAGGACCAACAAGAAAAGATTGGTCAGCAAAGCTTGATGATGCTCTTTGGGCATATAGAACTGCGTTCAAAACCCCATTGGGAACTACACCTTTTCAACTTGCTTATGGTAAGGCTTGTCATCTTCCATGGGAGTTAGAGCTCAGGGCAGAATGGGCCATAAGAAAGCTGAATTACGACATCCAGACAGCAGGTGCAAAACGTTTGATTCAGCCAAATGAGTTAGAGGAGATTCGCCATACAGCCTATGAGAATTCTAAGATCTATAAGGAGAAGACGAAAGAGTTTTATAACAGGAAAATAGTTCATAAGACGTTCTCACCTAATGACCAGGTTCTACTTTAACTCACGTCTAAAATTGTTTCCCGGAAAGCTTAAATCACGATGGTCTGGACCTTTCAAGATCAAAGAAGTTTTACCATTTGGTGCTGTGGTTCTATGGAACCGCCAAGGAGGCGATTTCACTGTCAATGGACAACGTCTTAAGCCATATCTTGCAGACATTCAAGAAGAAAAGGAAGATTCGATCTCCTTAGCAGATGCGCCTAATGCCTAAAAGACGACCAAGTCAAGCTAACGACTTAAAACAAGCGCTTAGTGAGAGGCAACCCACTCGGTATTGTTTTTGTTTCATTTAATTTCAGGTTTTTACAAAGAAGAACGAATAAAAGACGAGAAGAAATCATAAACCGAAAACGGCCATCACTCCGGCCCCGGTGAAACTTCGACCGACGGTGCCATTCTTCCAACCGCGACTCATTCTTTCTGCAAGGTAAGTACATCTAAACACTTCAAATTTCTATTTCCTTATCCATCATTTCTTAGATTTTATCACACTGAGGACAGTGTGAAATAAGTCTGGGGGAGGATGTTCATCCGTTACTAACGAAATTTGATTTGTTTTGAGTTTGTTTTGGACATAAAAAAATTACTCAAAAATTTTTCAAAATGTTTTCAAACCAGGAACATAAATAAACAATACTATGATGATTTAGACCAGTGTGCTTCTATGCTATTTCCTCGTTTTTTGCTCTTTCCGTGATTTAGGCCTAGATTAGGCGGTAGCTAGAGTACTTACACTACGAACTCCCACCAGAGGACTTCTATTCATGGAGATTCTTTCTGACATGATATACTAGCTCATTTTATTTGGAATTAATCTTGCCTTAACTTTCTCATTAAAGCATTAGATCAGGGAAACAAATCATACATTCAGGACTCCTTTACCCTTTTACCACTCTTTGTTGATCCTGAATGGCTAGTTCACATTTAGCTAGTTCCCCACCGTAACCCAGCCTCTTTCAAACCACATGCACTCTTGTTTTGCATTGTCCTATATGCAGATATGTGCAAAAACGTCGGAGAGAAAGAGGATCAACGCGGTTTTCAGTCACTAAAGACAGAGACCTGCGATTTCATTGGAATGGTTCAACAAAAGGAGAAAACTAAGTTTGCCTTTGAAAAACTTCAAAATCTTGGTACAATTTTGTCCCTTAGACTCTCTCTCTCTCTATAAAAGGTTGTTTCCCCTTCAAAAACAAAAAGAAAAAAAACGAAAAAAAAATAATAGAAATATGAAGGAAAAGGAAATAAAAACCTTAAGAGAGTCTAGGAGGATCGATTTTATCTTTGAGGCAAGCTAGAGTTCGATTATATGGAGTTTTGGAGATCATTTTTCTTATTCCCGGAAAAGATCTAAGTCTGGGGGAACATCTGTTTACAACCAAGGAGGAAAGACTATGCAACAACATTTGGCAAGGAGAAGTGACTGAAAATTGCGGACATCAACAGGTCCACTCTCTCTTGCGGTTTTGCATAATATGTTGCATCCTCCAGATCTTCAGGTAACCCGAAACACTTTAATTCCAGCACTTAAATAGCTAGTTTACTGGAAGTTAGATCTAAGTGTGTAGATTTTCGCATGACGGATCAACGGACTAGTTATGTTTGTATTTTGGTGAGAATTTTCTAGACTAGATCCAGATAGATGTTTTATGATAGGTTATGGTTTAGAAGGACGGTCACTGAGATATTGTGTAGTTCCTGCGGGTTTTTAAAGATTCTTTCATGGCTTGATCTATGTTTTGTTTGAGGACAAACAAAGGTTTAAGTCTGGGGGAGTTGATAACACCAGATTTTGACCATTTTTATGGATCGTTTTAATATCTTATGCAGGTGTTTTAACTCTGTTTTCAATGGTTTTTTAAGTGATTTCTATGTTTTAGAGTTTTAAAAGACTTTTCAGGAAACTTGGACTAAAGATGTGCTATTTGGAACAAATGAGCAATTTTGGATAAATGCAGACCATCAGAAGTATGGTACTCGATGAAGACATTCTCACCGTCTGATCGTCCCCAAATTTTGAGACAACATAGAGGATACAACCAGCTTTCTAATGCAATTGGTTTAAAGACAATGCAATGGTTAGATCTTCAGATATTCTCGATGCACTAAAGACAGAAAATACAGTCTCGAAGGAGAGCATAGGCCGCGACCGCGGCCAGACCATGACTCCCCGCGGTCAGGACCACCGCGACCGCGGCCAGAAAACGTTGACGTATGAAAGTGACCTAATTCAAGCCCAAGTCCAGCCCACTGCTCATTCTTCAAACCCTAAACGTTTCCAACGAATTAGAAGGCTATATATACTCGTTTTAGGTCATTCTAATGACCAAGTCGTGGAGAGAGAGCAGAGACGAGCCGCATACCTTGGAGTTTCCGTCTTCGGGAGAAGGAGGAGTTGCCGAAGCAGCCACCATCGATATCTGCCTTCGTCTTCGTTCTTCGTTCTTTACCTTTCTCTTATTTTAATTTCCACCAAACTACAATACTTCTGTGATGTTCTTATACACTATGATTGAGTAATTCCCTTGTTGGGTTTTAAGGATTTTTCAAAGGGATTCATGGATTGATTTCTGGTTTGTTAGATTAGGGTTTATCTTTAGAGTTCTTCGTCTAAATCTGCGTTTCGTTTATGTGGCTTTGATCGATAATCTAGCTACTGCGATTAGGTTGATTTACTCACCGAAAGTGTTGTTGAATCGATTAACCTTATGTAGATGAACAAATTCTCTTAGACGGTGTGAGTCGTTCTAAAACGTTTTGTGAAATTATCAAACTAATTTGTCTAGAAACTTAGAGAACTGAATGGGAGTTTAGTAAATCTGAGTGAATTGATTTGTGATTAATACTAGGTGAGTAGCTTAGTCTGAGTTTGATTTCAGGAACACATCTATAGAAAACTCTATGTTTGATTCTCTTGTTAGCTAGTCTTTGATTCCCGGCGAATTCCCTAACGCCCAACACCTTCTTGTATTGATTTGATCTTATTGTTTACTTGTTTTTAAGTTTATTATTTGCTATTTTCGTCACTGTTCACAACCCCCAAACAAACACCCATATTTTCATCTTAGCTCAGTTCTCATCTCAAGTAAACTCGTACTGCAGTTACTTGGTCTTCAGTGGATCGACCCCTAAGTACTACAATGTACATATGTGCGCTTGCAGAAAACTAGGGTTAAAACCTGAGCACATCAATATTCGATTCATGCTAGGGTTTTAAAGCTCATAGGTTGCAAGTTAGACTTCTCCTGTTTACTCTAATCGATGTTTGGTGGCATTTCCAATTAGCTTCCGGGCGATTTATCTTCATATATCTTCTGAGATCTGCATGGAACTGGAATAGACATATACATGTTAACCAACTCTCGTCATCTTAATCAATTAATCACTTACCTCGGCAATTAACTCTCGCTCTCATGCCGCGAATAAGATCATGCATTAACCATTGAATTCGTTCGCTCACATCTTCTCTACAGGTAGCTCTCGACTCCTATAGCGACTATATTCTTCTGAAGCTTTGTTCTGGTAATCTAATACAACACTCTCGTGGCTCTGATGCCTAGGTTCAGTAGTTAGATTGCGAGTTTAACTACATGCATTATGAACAACTTAGAAGAGATGAGATCTAGAATATGGCTAAGAAAACAACAACCCTAAACGAATATGGAGTCCCCTTCGATGGATCCCTTAAACCCAAAAACTAATTACTCTGACATGACTAAAAACAGAATAATCAAAGAAATAAATAGCATAAACTGAATAGATGAAAAGAAAAAACGAGGGTTCAAGAGAAGAATCTATATCTCCCTAACCTAAACCTAAGAAACAAAAGTTTGGTGCCTCCCTAACAAGGACAAAGGAGCATACACGAAATTAAATCTTCTAAAATACATATTTATAGGTCTCCAAGTGCTTCTGGTCGTACTTAGACCATCTCCATTGCAAAGTTTTAGTGGGGATATAAGGAATTTTAAGCATTTAAAATAAATCAGAAAGAAAATAAATGCTTATATACTGAGTTCATAAACTCTTGCATAAGAACTTCTCTCTCCTGAGTATATATCAAATTTAATAATAAACAATGTTTAACAACCTATTATGAGTATGAGGGGTGGAGATGCTCTTAGGGCTTATTCTGCAGAGAGAATGAGTTGGGCTTGAAAACAGGCCATTGGGCCAAAAATGGGCTTGTCGCAGAATGACGCTTCTCCAAGTCTGGTAAATGCTGGTCCACCGTGGATGAAGGCCCTGAGGCATGGCCAGGATAGTGTTCATTGCGGTCACGAGCTCCTGGACCGCGGTGGGTGGGATATGATGTCCAATTCATTCCTTCTCTTGCTTCTTTCGCGAGACTGCAGAACATGTCTCCCGTAAATTGAAAATAACCTATGATCCAACCGTTGGATTGCGTCGAATCCAATTGCATTAGAAAGCTGGTTGTCTTCTCTATCTTGTTTCCAAATTTGAGCTTGATCAGACGGTGAGAATGTCTTCATCGGATGTGAAACATCTGACGGTCCAAAATTGGCCAAAAATGTATTTTTGTCCAATTTGCATTGTTTTTGCCTAAATAACCTGAAAAGTCTTTTAAAACTCCAAAAATGGAAAACACTTATAAAACATTTAAACCTGATTGAAAAAACCTGCATAAGATACTGAAAGTGATCCATAAATATGGTCAAAATCAGGTGGTATCAAAGTTTTATTTGGCTTACCAAATTCGATTATCTATGCATTTTTCTCATCCAATCTCGACTTGTTTCACACTGAAGAGAGTGTGATTTAAGTCTGGGGGAGGATTTCATCTCTTTCTAACCACTTTTCTTTCATGAGTCTTTCATTATCTACACTTTTTGCATTTTCCTTAAATTTTTTCAAAAACGGTTTTCAAAACAAAATATGTTTTAAAGAGAATTGTGAACATGAATCAATGATAGGGTACTGTGTGCTTTTAGACTGTTCCTAGTGACATGCTCATTCATGATTTAGGACTAGACTAGGCGGTAGCTAAACACATTTAAAACGAAGTAACCCAGAGGAATTTGAATGATTTCGATTTAGATGAAGGAATACACTAGCTCTGTTTTATTTGGACTTAACATGGACTTAATTCTCTCATTAAAGCATTAGACCAGGGAAACAAATCATACATTTAGGACTCCTTTACCCTTTTACCACTCTATGTTGATCCTGAATGGCTAGTTCATCTTTAGC